GGTCCTACTGAGAGAGGGACATATGAGCAAAAGAGCTGAACTTGTGAGGAGGTAAACCTTATATGGTTCCCTGAAGGAAGAGTGCAGTTGCAAAGACCCCAGGCAGGAATGTGCCTTGCATGGTCCAGAATCAGTAGGGAGGTCAGGCATGGCTGGAACAGAGTAAGCAAAGGGCATGATGGTTGGTGTTGAGGTCAGACAGATAAAGGCAGACCAGAGCATTAAGGCCAGTGGTTTCCAATGGGGTGACACCATCTGGTAGTGGCTGTTTCTGAAATTTGTGGAGATGTTTTTGTCTTCTAATGTAGTTGTGCATGAATGTTTACAAGTTAACATATGTATTTTATTATAGATTATTTTCTTTTAATGTCTGCTTTCTACTTTAGGCCATTAAGATTCTTTTTTAAAAATTATGTTTAGAGGAAGATTATATTATCTCCAAATTCCATTTCCGGGCTGTAAAGGATGTGTTTTACAATACTTACTATTGAAAGGAGGCTTTGAGTCTGACAGGGTTGAGAGGTGACTCCACAGCAGAGTGGTGTGGGTAGAGTCAAACAGAGGAACACCGTGATAAGATTCAGGATTTAAGCAGCTCTCCCTGGCTGCTGTGTGGGGAAAGGCTGTGGGGGCAAGGGAAGAAGCCGGGAGACCAGCTAGGAGGTTACTGCAGTGTCTTTGTCTGTCTGGGCTGTTGGAACAAATTTACCTGAAACTGGGTGGCTTATACACTTCAGGCATTTATGTCTAACTGTTCTGGAGGCTGGGATGTCCAAGATCATAGTCCTGGCAGATTCGCTGTCTGGTGAGGGCCCAGATGGCTGTCTTTTGGCTGTAACCTCACATGGTGGAAGGTGTCACAGAGCAATCTGGGACCTCTTTTATAAGGACACTAATTGCACTTATGAGGTCTAATACCTAATATCATCAGGCTGGGCAAAGGTTTCAACCTAAGAATTTAGGAGGGACACGGAGATTCAGACCCCAGCATGCAGTAGCAAGGTGAATGATGATGGTGGCTTGGATCAGGATGGCAGCAATGGAAGATGTGAGAAGTGGTCTGATTCTGGAGTATCTTTTGAAGGTGGGACCTATAGGATTTTCTAATGGGTTTGATGTGGAGTGTGAAAGAAAAAGAGGAATCATGACACTGACTTCTGGATGGTGGATCAGGCCTCCTTGAGGAAGGATGAGGCATTTGAATCTGCCCTTGAAGGATGTATAGATAGGAATATGACAAGCATCCAAGGGGAAGTACATTTGTGGGCAAAGTGATGGAGTGTTTGGGAAGGTGGAGGGGAGGCTGACAGGATAGAGGGAGAGAAGGAGGACAAGATGGCCATGGCCAGGAAGCTGCCACAATATGATCCCACCCAGGAGTGAGGCAGAGCCATAATCCAGATGTGACCCCAAGGCTGAATGAAGCCAGATGAAACATTAAACTGGGGGGTGGAGAAAGTATCCAGTGTAAAGCAACAAGCATGGGGGAGAGAAGTTTTGGGGAAGTGAGTACAGGCACCTGGGTGGGTAGAGAAACATGATTTGGAATAATGCTATGGTGGCTAGATGCCTGTAGCAATCCACCCAGTTGTACAGTGCATACCCTCATTCTTTGCGTACATTCAGCAAATATTTGTTGGACACCCACTATGTTCCAAGGACACATTTATATAATGAAGGATGCAGTAGAGTAGAAATCTATAACCTCATGGAGCAGACACAGACAATCATATAAGTAAAGTACCTAGTATGTCCGATGATAAGTGGCATGGAGAAAACTAAGCAGGAAATGGGGACACGGAGGGCTCTCTGGGAAGAGAGGTGCTATTTTAAGAAGGGTGGTGAGGAAAGGTCCTACTGAGAGAGGGACATATGAGCAAAAGAGCTGAACTTGTGAGGAGGTAAACCTTATATGGTTCCCTGAAGGAAGAGTGCAGTTGCAAAGACCCCAGGCAGGAATGTGCCTTGCATGGTCCAGAATCAGTAGGGAGGTCAGGCATGGCTGGAACAGAGTAAGCAAAGGGCATGATGGTTGGTGTTGAGGTCAGACAGATAAAGGCAGACCAGAGCATTAAGGCCAGTGGTTTCCAATGGGGTGACACCATCTGGTAGTGGCTGTTTCTGAAATTTGTGGAGATGTTTTTGTCTTCTAATGTAGTTGTGCATGAATGTTTACAAGTTAACATATGTATTTTATTATAGATTATTTTCTTTTAATGTCTGCTTTCTACTTTAGGCCATTAAGATTCTTTTTTAAAAATTATGTTTAGAGGAAGATTATATTATCTCCAAATTCCATTTCCGGGCTGTAAAGGATGTGTTTTACAATACTTACTATTGAAAGGAGGCTTTGAGTCTGACAGGGTTGAGAGGTGACTCCACAGCAGAGTGGTGTGGGTAGAGTCAAACAGAGGAACACCGTGATAAGATTCAGGATTTAAGCAGCTCTCCCTGGCTGCTGTGTGGGGAAAGGCTGTGGGGGCAAGGGAAGAAGCCGGGAGACCAGCTAGGAGGTTACTGCAGTGTCTTTGTCTGTCTGGGCTGTTGGAACAAATTTACCTGAAACTGGGTGGCTTATACACTTCAGGCATTTATGTCTAACTGTTCTGGAGGCTGGGATGTCCAAGATCATAGTCCTGGCAGATTCGCTGTCTGGTGAGGGCCCAGATGGCTGTCTTTTGGCTGTAACCTCACATGGTGGAAGGTGTCACAGAGCAATCTGGGACCTCTTTTATAAGGACACTAATTGCACTTATGAGGTCTAATACCTAATATCATCAGGCTGGGCAAAGGTTTCAACCTAAGAATTTAGGAGGGACACGGAGATTCAGACCCCAGCATGCAGTAGCAAGGTGAATGATGATGGTGGCTTGGATCAGGATGGCAGCAATGGAAGATGTGAGAAGTGGTCTGATTCTGGAGTATCTTTTGAAGGTGGGACCTATAGGATTTTCTAATGGGTTTGATGTGGAGTGTGAAAGAAAAAGAGGAATCAAGAATGGCTCCACATTTTTGACCTGAGCAATGAAGGTCGTAGATGTCATTAACAGAAAAGGGAAACCTATACGTAGAATGGGTTTTGGGGAAAACACCAGAATTTATAGGGTACCAACTATATTCTAGGTATTATTTTAGGTGCCAGGAACATTCACCAGACTTGTTTGACATGTAGGATTCCAGTTAGAGTGTAAGCCCTCTGAGGTCAGGGAGCATGGTCTGGTGTCTAGATCATTTTTGTTACCTGCTTAATGCACATTTGGTAACTATCTGTTGAATGAATGATGATTCACTGTCTTGAAATCTCTGATTCTCTGATTCAAGTCAAAATAGAATAGCAGTGCACTCTTTTATTCAATGACAAAATTACTAGAATAACTGTTCTGATTTTAGACAGGGATTTCTTTTACCCATCCTAAATATTCTGAAAGACTGTTAACACCTCCAAGTCAAAACACAATGTGTTTTATCTCTGAATCTGCAGGACCTACTGTCTAGGAGGTATCCATTGAATGAATATTTGTTGAGTGAATACATTTTTATGGGTTTTTGAAGAATATTTTTTATTAGGTATATATTTAAGGTATTGTAACCACAGTAGCCATTTCATTTTTTCCCAATTTTTACTATTTTATAATAATTATATATTCATCATTAACTATCATTTTTATGACTGTATAATCATCTAGTGTATATAAACTATAATTCTATTACCTATTTCCTCATTATTCAACACTTAAGATTCTTTCAATCTAGCAAACACCAATGAACATTTTCCTGAATGGAGCTTTTTATGTACTTTAGGCTATTCCATTGGGTGTTAAGATTTCTTAATCAAGGATTGTGGTTGACATTATTAATATTTACCAATATCTCCTTCTCTGCTCCTTTTAAGCATACAGAAAATTTCACTTCTTAGTCTCCTTGCCATTCGGTAGGTCTGTGTGACCAGTCTGGCCAATGAAATGAGAGGGGAAGTGACGTGTAAACCTCTCTCTACCAGCCTGAGAGAGGTATGTTGAGTGAACAAGAAGGGAACATTTGCTAGGTAAACTGCTAGGGTTCCAGAGTTAATTTGTTACCATAGCTAACCTATTCTAACCTACTACTCAGACTTTGAACCTTATGGATTAGAGTATATATTGGAAAAGTGCACAATGGTTGGTATACAGTTGGTACCCAATAGATACCTATTAAATGGATTGATGATGCTGGTCCCCAGTAATACATGAAAAAAACAATTTCATTGCTTTATCAACAGCAGTTTGTTTTTTATTTGACTGTTTTTTTCCAATTTAATAGGCAGACATACTGTCTTGGCCAGCAAGAAATTGGGCAATTTCTTTGCTTATTGGAAAGGTTGAACAATTTTCATCTGTTGTGAGCAGTTTATTCTTTAGTGTATTGTTTGTTCAAAATCTTTCATTTATTCTCAGTAACCGTTTTTTAAATGCCTTCATTATTCTGGATATTTGGACTGTCATGTTAAATAACCATGTTACCATAGAGCTTTTTATTCTAGGAGGGAAGAAAAATAACATGTAAATAAATGCTTAAATATTTTAGATAATGGTAAGTGCTATGAAAAATAAAGCAAGGTCAGAGGCCTAAAGAGAGCCTAGGTGTGTTTTCACATAGGGTAGTCAGGCAGGATCTCTCTGATAACATCACTTTTGAACCACGGGGATGAGCTAAGAAGAGCCTGGGAAGAAGTGTGTTGCAGGCTGAGAGAATAGCACATGCAAAGGTCTGAAAGCAGGGGTATGCCTGATATTTTGGGGCTACAGTGAGAAACCAGTCTGGCTGGAGCAGAGTGGGCATGGGGAGAGTGGTAGGAGGTAAGATCGAAGAGGTAACAAGCTAGAACACATAGGGTCTCCTAGGCCACTGTTACATCTTTTGACTTGTCTTTGGAGTGATATGGGAGTCTCTGGGGGCTTTTGAGCTGAGGAGAGGCATGATATGACTTACTATTTAAAAGAATTATTCTGACTTCTCTGTAGATAAGACCGGAGGGGACCAAGTAGGAGGAGACCAAGCAGGAGGCTGTTGCAGTAATCTGATGGAAGATATTAAGAGCTTAGACCAGGATGACACTGTGGATAGAGTGTCATCCTGGATATTCTAGGTATATATATTACTTATTAGAGCTAATAGGGTTTGATGACTGGTTGGATATGGGGCTGGGCGAGAGAAATGAAGGAGTCAAGAATGATTCCAAGGATTTTGTCTTGAGCAACTAGAAGAATGTAGTTACCATTTACTTTATTGTTTATTGAATCATATTTGGTATTTTTAATGATGCCAGAGAAATCCATGTCACAAATCAAAGGAACGGTGTCCTGGGGCGGACACAGAGCTTGCTTTCCAGAGTAAAGAGTAGACTGATCGGCTGAAAGCACTCACGGTCCAGGTGGGATCCTGGCAGCAGTGCAGTGGCTCTTGTCTTCTCTGGCTCCCTGGCCATCTCCATTTCACTTCCAGAAACACGGCTTCTGGCGTCGCTCTCTCTGATGGCATCATCAAGGCATTCAGTGACATGCAGGTGAGCAAGTCATGGCTGCCAGAGGAGGTGAAGAAGCATGAGAAGGTGGGGCTCTTTTGCTTGAGTAAGGACAAGAAGATTCTCTGGGAGGAGGCCTAGGCGACCCTGGTAGGTGATGCGTGTCAGGCTGGTGATGACCTCGTGCCACCTTTGTCAGAATGCTGGCTGGACAAGGGCTGCCTCTGTGCCCTCTTTAAGCAAACTAGGAGACCAGAATAAGAGTAAGAAGGATGACCTGGTGTTTGTCTTCTGGACCCTGAGCCTGCACTCCTTAAGAGCCGAATGATCTATGCTAGCTCCAAGGATGCCATCATGAGAAAGCTGATGGGGATCGAGCTTCAATTACAAGCAAATTGCTACAAAGAGGCCAAGGACTGCTGCACCCCCTGACCGAGAAGCTGGGAGGCAGTGACAATTTTGTCCTGAAAAGCAGCCTTTGTGAGCTCCCTTGAGCCCCTGCCTGGAGGATCTGGCAGCCCCAGCCCTTCCCTCTGGGGATTCAGGCTGCTCCTTTCTGCCATGCTTGAGTGGTGGTGGGGATTCTAGCAGGAAGAAGACAATTTTTTCATCTTCACTTTTGAGCTTCTGATTCCTTGTGGGTTTAAGCAGACCACGTGTCCCCCAGCTGATGCCATTTAGGGAGGGTCTGTATTTTTCCAGCAACACCCCTGCTCCCCACTTGCTCCTCTCCCTTCCCATACTGCCAACTTCTAACTACAATAGTGACTCTGTGCCCCTCTGTTTAGTTCTGTATAGAAAGGGAATGTTAGGGAGATGACCCCTCCCTGTGGGGACTGGCTTCCCTCACCTGCTTCCCACGGCTGCAGCCACTCACAGAAACAGGACCAGTAAGGGACCTTCAGTTAAAACACACAATTAAAACAAAAACAAAAATGAGTTGCCGGCTGCTCATTGCCCGTGGTCACAGTGATCGGTTCAGGGGTGGGCATATGACCTTAGATGATACAATCAGAGGCTCGGGACTTGCAGTTAATAATTTGGGATAGCTACTCCTTCTGCTAGAAATTAGCAAAGAAACATGCTCCCTGAGATGTCATAATCTTTTTCCTTCTTTGAGGGAAACCAGCCTTAGGATGAACTTGACATCGTGGAAAATGGAGAGAAGAGATAAAAAGAAAGGATAAAAAGAAAGCCAGGTCTTTTGTGACATGGTTGAGTCACTGTATCCATCCTCACCTGAAATCTATCCAAAGACTGTTGAGTTATATGCGCCAATAAACTCCCCTTTATTGTGTTTGCCAGTTTGGGTTGTGTTTTCTGTTACTTGCCACCAAGCACATCCTGACTGACAGAAGCAGCTTTCCTTGTAAATGCTGCCCACAGTTCTCAGCAGAATGCTCTCACTACCTGGGATCTCAGAGCACAGGTTATAGTCACCCAGCAAATCATCAAGCTGTTTGAGGCTTAGGATTGGAGGGTGACATCATGTCCTGGGAGAGGAAAGGCCACCTTCAGAGCGTATGCTGTCGAAAATCCTAGGGGAATGGATCCCCGGAACTGTCCCAGCAGCGGACTTCACCTGGCATCAGATGATCTCAGCTGCCCCTCCGCCCCACCCCCAGCAGTGAGGGCCTGGTGTTCTTTCTCAAACAGAAGGTCTTTGGCAGCTTGCTCCTGAACACTGGAGTGTTTACAGTCATATTCAGCAACTGCTGGAAGCGTGGGGTGGGGGCTGATTCTGAATGCACAGTCCCCATGAGTACCAACATCCTGCTTCCACATTCATTTCTGAAAGTCCTTTACCAATTTGTGCTTCTTTAAAGATAGCTTAGGTTTATGATGAGCAGAACAGGCTGTGGAGTCAGACTGTGTGGACTTCCCTCTTGGCTGTCCTAGGGCTGGTAACACAGCAGGGGTTTAAATGCTGAGGTCAGCCAGCAGATGTGGGCTCTAGAGGCCAGTCTCAGCAAATCCTCCACACAGGTCAGTTGCCTGCGATCTTAGAGGATTGCAGTGTGGTGGGCTTCCTGGAGCCTCTTCTCCCTTAATTGTCTTGACTGTCATCAAGTTTGAAAGGAATTGTAGTCTAGTGACTAAGAGCATCAGCAGTCTGCCCCCAGACCTCTGGGGTTTGGATCTTAAATCCACACCTACAGACAGTGCAAGTTACTTAACTTCTCTGTGCCTCAGTCTCCTCCTCTGTACAGTAGAGATAATAAAAGAAAGTAGAGACATCTCAGGGAGCAACCCTTAGCCTCTGAGAGTTGGCTAGAGGATAAATGAGTTACTACAGGCAGTCTTAGAACAGTGCCTGGCATCAATAAATACTAGATATTAGGTTGCCTGGAACTTGCTAACAAGTAATCAATGATACAGTGATGCCAAAGGCAAAAATGAGTTGGGAGAGAAGAAAGAGAAATGCATATATGAAGCAGAGAGGACCCTTTTCAGTCTGACAGAAAAGAGAATGGTTGGGGTGCCTTTCCATAAGGCCCAGTCTTCTCTTCCCAGCCAGGGTGGGGTTTCTGAGCTGGAAACAGAGAGACGGAAGGGGAAGCCCAGCCACCTCCTTCCTGTTGCCTGGACCAGCCTTCCCGGCCGACAGCCAGTGCGGCTTTTCCTTTTGCTGCATTAATTCTGCTCCTAATAATAACAACCATTCCTCACTTTTTAATTCCACTTTAAGTTTACAGAACTCTTTCACGTCTCTCTCTCTTTATTCCCCTTCCCAAGAGTCTGTTGTTTTTCCATGTCACAGACGTGGAGCTTCCATCATATTTAAAAACATGCAAACATTGTGGATTCCTTTTCTTCACTTCTTTACATTTTTTGTTCTAAAATTTTCTACAACTAAAAAGTATGTTGCTTATTTCTTCTTTTGTTTTAATAATAATGGGTATCTCATATGAGCATCACATGTACCAGGTGCTGTTTTAGGAACTTTATATATATCAAGTCATTTGCTTTTCACAACTCAGTTCAGTAACTACCATTATTTTTCTCCTTTTACAGATGACATCACTGAGGCACAGTGACCTGCCACGATTAGCTTTAACCTCAGGTAGTTTGGTTCCAGAACCAACACACTTAACTGCTATACTAGTCTACCCCTTCGTGGTAGAATATTAATAAACCAGCAAAGCAAAATGATGAAAAAAAAAATTAATCCCAAAACTCAGATACTCAGATGTGACTACTCTTAACATTTGGTGTGTATATATATATATATATATATATATATATATATATTTATATGTATGCACATGTAGCTATGCATAGAAACAAGACTGAAAAGACAGACCAGTGGCTTTCAGTTTGGATGGGAGGGGGGCAACTGGAGCTTCAAGCAGGCCTGTTTATGTATACATCACCTTTCTTTCCCCGCCCCACCCCACCCCCGGTCGTCATGCTTGCCCTTCCCCTTTGGATAGAATACGCATATGTGTATTTTAAAAGCTCCCCAAGTAATTCTGATGTATGCCCCTCCCTATCCCA